AATATTGCCTTCCCCACCAGAAAGAAGTGGGAAAGGGACGAGGAGGACTGGAATACAGGAATTAGCATCTACACGGATAGATCCAAACTAGATAATAGTGTGGGAGGTGGTGTCTTTTGCGCAACATTAGACACCAAAATCGCGTTCCGTTTATCAGACCACTGTAGTGTCTTCCAGGCGGCCATCACAGCTATCAAAGAAAACCTTGTGGTATTGACAAAAAGTGTGCTCACAACAAGGAGCATATATATATATATATATACGGATAGCCAAGCGGCCTTGAAATCACTCAAGTCTAAAATGCTCTCATCCAAGCTAGTCTGACCTATTAGAGGATCTGACATCCTACTTCACAATAAACCTGCTATGGGTTCCAGGACATAGTGATATCCCTGGTAATTGCGAAGCAAGTGAACTAGCCAGAACAGATACCACTTTGCAACTAACTCCTGAAAAAGAGGTTATTTTTATGCCACTGGTAACTTGCAAACACTCAATCAGCGAACATACTATAAATATAGCAGAGTCTCGGTGGAGACAATCAATAACCTGCTCAACCAGCAGACTAACGTGGGGGAATGGGGCGTGAGTCGCACATACCGACTATTAAAATTCAAAAGGAATGATATAAGAACTCTGGTAGGAGTACTAACAGGTAATTGTCTAATTGGTAGACATGCCAGTAGGCTAGGTGTACCATACAACGACTATTGTAGAAGCTGTCAAGAAGTAGAAGAAAAGGAGACTGTAAAACATCTTCTATGCGAATGTAAATACAGGAAAAGAATCGCGACTATCGGTCGTGGATTCCTTGACGACGTATCAGAAGTTGCTAATATACAATTATTTGTACTGATGAACTTCATCAGAAGCACAGATTGGTTCAGAGAGGAGACGATAGAGTGAGGGAACATTAGTCCCGGTCACAATGGGCCTCCTATAGGGCCAGGTGCGTCGTTAAACAGCCACTCTACCTACCTACCCATCTTACTGTTGTCGTACTTAACCTTACGGCAGCAACTAGTCGAGACGTTCATTAAATTTTGAAATATATGAGCAAATATGAGTGCGGTTTGATGACTTAATATGGCTTGGTTCTTCAAAAGTTCAATGATACCATCGACGCTGATGTTAGAAATATAAAAATCCTTCTTGTACATTTGCAATTTCTGCACGACCAGTGGAAAACAATTTATAATGAATGCAAAATAGCTGCAGAGAATTCAGAGCATGTCGAGACGATTTTACAATCAACCACAAAAAAAAACACGGAAACGGCCTGCATAAAGATCTCTATTTCTATGGTAGTTCTATGTTATTTTATGAAAAAGTATTTCGTTGATGCATCTGATAAATTGTCCAATAAAGCTATTCACCTCATACACGTTTACGATGCAAATTTAGAAACCCGTCTTACTCCATACAACTTATTGAATGCCATAAATGCTCGAAAATTAGGAAGACCTTTCCCAAATATTTGCATCGGTTTGAAAATATTTTGCACTTTATCTGTATCTGTTTCAAGTAGTGAACGTTCGTTTAGTGCTTCAGCAAGGATCAAAAATGTTCATGTCATGTTACTTTTATTCAGGCATTTCATCATGGAAAGACTTACGCCTAAACAACATTTAAAAATTGTTTCGCGCGCTTCGCTCAACTTATGGTGAACATAATCGGCCTACTGAGCGTACTATTCCCAACACCATCACCCATCTTGAGTCCTAGCATTCATTATTGGATAATATTCGACCGAGTAAACCACGGCCAGCACACAGTGAAAAAAATATAGTGGCCTTAGCTGAGAGTGTACACGAAGACCGTGGAGAGTCGATTCGGCGCCGTTCGCAGCAACTCGGACTGATGTATGGAACGACTTGGCGCATTTTACGTCGAGATATTAACTTTAAAGCGTACAAAATACAGCTTGTGTAGGAACTGTGCCGCTCGACCTTCCCAAGCGACAACTCTGCGCTCTATGGGCTCTTAAAAAGTTCCAAGAAGATCCGACGTTTTCGAGCCAAATTTTTTTCAGCGATGAGGCCCATTTATGGCTCTATAAGTATGTAAACAAGCAAAATTGCCGCATTTGAGATGACGAGTAACCCGAAGAGATTCAACAACTGATATTTCATCCAGAAAAAACAACGGTTCGGTTTATATTTCTTCAAAAATGATGTCGGTGAGAACGCAACCGTCAATGGCGACCGTTATACCCGCCATGATAACCGACTATTTGATGCCTGAAATTGAAGCTTGTGTTTTCGGCAACATTTGATTTCAACAAGACGGGGCCACTTCACATACATCGCAACAATCAATGGATTTATTGAGAGAACACTTCGGTGAGCAGATAATTTCAGGTTTGGGACGGTCGATTCTTTTTCCTTTGGGATATGCAAAGTCTAAAGTATATGCGGACAATCCGGCTTCAATTCAGGCCTTCTAGCAAAACATCACGCGTGTCATTCGCCACATACCAGTCAAAATGCTCGAAGGAGTCATCGAAAATTGGATTCACTAGATGGCTTATCTGAGACGTAGCCGCGGCCAACATTTGAAAGTGATAATTTTCAAAAAATAAATGCCAAAGAATGTTCTTTCGAGTGATAGTAAACATTCATGAGATATAAATTTTCGGTGTTTTTTTCTTTGAAAATGTAGGAGACCTCGAAATGGATCAACCTATATATTAGAAACGTGTCAACGGAAAAACCGTACAACTGTAGTGGTAAGATATGTATATACAATAAGTTCTAAGATGGTAGCGTTATCTTGTAATATATCGCAAATTTTACGAAGATAATTTCTTAAATAAAAACTTTTCCATACAAGAACTTGACTTCGATCGAACAATTTGAATGACGGCTATATGCAAGTGGTCTGGTATCGGCGATTCCAATAAATAAGCAGCTTTTTAGGTATAAATAGAAGTGTACAAAATTTCAGGTCAATATCTCAAAAACTAAGGGAGTAGTTCGCGTATATTCAGACAGACGGACGCTGATTAAATATTAACTTGGGGATCCATGAGTTCTTCTTAAAACGAATAAATCATAAATATAATAACATAGAGCCACAAAATATCTACTGATCTATAATTGAAAAGACGTTAAGATTTCGATTTAAATAACATTTTATTACTCAGAGTAATCTTAGTGCCTCTACTTCACTTAGGCGGCTGCTTTTGGGTAAAAGACAATTACGTGTATATGAGTTATCAAGAAGAAGTACTTCTTTAATTACACGGAAGATATGCGATACCTTATGTTACAACAAACATCGATCGCGGTATTATATAACATGCTTCGAACTCATACCGTGAAAATAAGGTAAATTCACATTTATTTTGCAATATATTGAATTGAAGACATAAGCAAGAAGTTGCAAGCTCGCATAACGAGCAATAAGTGTTAATTTGTTGAAATTAGAAATAAAGATTAGTCTATGTCCATTAAATTGGGGCTTTCATTTAACAATCCAGTGATCGAACTCAAGAGTGAGTTACAAGGTAGATGATTTATCGAGAAATCCGTTACAATTGGAGGCAAAAGTGGGAACGATTTGAAGATACCACATATCCGTGTGAATAATTCACTGGTTGTGTTATGAGCGTTAAATCAAAAGAAGCTCGCTTCTAAATATTTATTTACGATAACGGGGTTTCGATTACTTCCTGATGAGTACATTAAATAGTTTTATTATTATATTAAAAGACCTGCCCCCTTGAGGGCTGGGAAAACAAAATTCGAAATTTAGTTTTTTTATTATGGAGTTATGAACTTTCAATTCTTTTAAATTTTTAGTATTTTTAAAAAGATCTTGAAAGATTTCCTCTTCAGTTAGATTTATACTTTTGTGAATGTTCAGGTAATAAAAACATTGAGACGCTCTTGTCTCATCATGTTTTAAAAATAATTCTTCTTAAATTTGAAAATTATCAATCTGGGGTTGTCATTGTAGGCAGGAAATATTGCCAAAACTTGTAAAGACTTATTCACATTTTCAAGGGGTTTCCTATTTGTAATCAAAAAGGATATATATATAGTCATATATTGAAGTTTTTGATACAAATTTTATAGCGTGTAAATATTTTGGTCGAAATTAGCTTACCGATAATGCATCATTGCGACGAGCAATGAGCACATTATTTTTATAGTTTCGTGTGAAAGTTGTACTCACCGCAATTAATTGAACCAATAACCAGAGCGCGCAATATATTCAGAGTTTTTTTAAAGGCACGGGAAAAGAAGCCGTCGATACGTCGATGTACCTAAAGATGAATCGTGCACTTATACCTATCGCTTTTAATTTAAACAGTTTACAATTGATCTTGCGAATTTTAATATTCTATACTGCATCTCCAGAAATTTATACGAAAATCTTAATAATTATATTAAATTTATTTATTCCTAGAGGAAAAAATACTCCCATATATCAGAAAAATAATAGTATTAGTCCATATATCGTGGTCGTGTATGGGTACTTGTAGCCGCGCCTTGCTTTGTTGCTGGCGCTTTCAACTTCTCCACTCCCCTTAAAACAAGTAGTGTTTTGAATAGACAATATTAAGCAAAACAAAAAAGGCCCAATTTGTCTAGTTTGGCGTTATATCAAAATATTGCATTTTCGCACTTACTATATTGCTAAACTTAGAGTTGGTAAACGTACATAGGAAATTATTATACAATTAATTTTTTATAATTACGTAAGTATACCAAAAATTGGTTAAAATGTATTTTTTATATAAGGTCAGTATAGTGAGAAAAAGAAACTCGAATGGAAAGGACAGGATGGAAATGGTGAATTGTGCCTACATAATAATTTACCCTAGCACTTTTTTCCTATTAAACGCAAAATTATAGAAAGACACATTCAAGTTTTATGTTTGAGCTAAACAAGGCTGATTGTTTTTATACTCATTTGTTTAGAAATTAGACCTGTAATGGCCGTTTAATAAAATTACCAAGGAAAGACAATCGGTGTTGTAAAACTACTAAATATTTTGTCATCAAAACATGTGGTTTTATTTCACTTCACATTCGAAAAAATAAGTACACACAATTAAACCTTTGAGGTCAGTTAAGTTCAGCTACACCCTTTTTTTCTCTTCAAACCAGTCGATTATTTTAACCACTCGCTACAAAGTTTTCACTTTGAAGGTCCACGCGAACTTTCATCACTACAAAAAATTGTAAACTCACATGTACCAAATCAATAAATATATTTCCATTTACCTGACGTCGATATCATTTTGTTCGTTTTCTTTGGAGGTTGTAGATTTTTTACTGCTATACTAACTTAAAAACGGTTGAAAAAGTATAATATTTCCAATATTTAAAACCTCGTTTTCTTTAATTTGATATATGAAGTTGAATAAATGCCAAATCATGTAAAAGGAATTGTGATTGCGAAGGTTGTATTTATTTAAATTTATAAGTATAAAATATATTGATTTTGAAAAATGAAGTGTGCACTGACGAGTTGAAATAACTTTTATGTAAATAAATTATTAAAAACGATTCCTTCGGGTATAAAAGTTCCCAAAAACTGGGTAATTTTTTGTAGGCAAAATGAATTTCATAATCATAATAATTATAATTTCAGAATCTTTTCCCTATAATTTCACGGTAAATGTATAGTTTATGTCCCCCAACTAAGGAGGCCTCAAAAATGAAATTTGACGCGATTAAATTATGAACACCCCGGTGTTGGACCGACCAGCGTTATATTTTTGAAGCGCGGGAGAAGGCCGCCAGTGCAGAAAGGAGTTTGACGCGATTGAATTATGAACACCCCGGTGTTGGACCGAC